AAGAGTGCATTGAAAAAGCTGCGCTGCCATGGAACAAACTCGTATCTTTGGCTATGGATGGTCCGTCATCAATGTGCTCCGAAAACATTGGTGTGGTTGGATTATTGAAGACCAAACTGAACAGCCTCAATATATCAGGAATTAGCTTCACCAGCATACATTGCATTTTGCACCAAGAAGCTCTATGTAGTAAAAGTCTACAAATGAAGGAAGTTATCGATGTAGTTGTTAAAACCGTTAATTTTATATATGCACGAGGGCTGAATCACAGACAGTTCACTTCTTTTCTAGCAAGTATGGACAGCGAATATGGGGAACTTCTGCATCACACTCAAGTTAGATGGCTGAATCGTGGAGATGTTTTGAAGCATTTTTTTGCACTTAGAGTGGAGACTGATTCCTTCATAAAAATGAAAAACAAGGAGGTTCCATCTGCAACCTTGCTTTTCTAGCAGATGTAACTGATCACCTGAATGCACTGAACTTGAAGCTTCAGGGTAGAAAACGGGTGATAACGCAGATGTATGACAGTGTTCAGTCATTCAAAGTCAAGCTTACTTTGTGGGGGAAACAGCTGACTGCTGGCAATTTGGTCCATTGCTCAACTCAGAATTCCTTAGGAATAGTTGAACCCAAATCCTTGAAAGAATATGTAGATATCATTTCTAACTTAGACAAACAGTTTGATGTGCGGTTTAAAGATTTCAATGCACTTGAACCATATTTTCAACTTTTTTCCACACCATTTACTGTGGAAATTGACAATGTTGCAGAGGAAATGCAGATGGAGTTAGTGGAGCTTCAGTGTGATACCATTTTGAAGCAGAAGTATACAGATGCTGGAATACCAGAATTCTACCGGTTTCTTTCACAAGAAAGACTTCCCATGTTATTCTCTGCTTCTGCAAGGGTAATGGCAATGTTTGGAAGTACATATATATGTGAACAGTTTTTCTCTTCCATGAAGATTAACAAATCTGTGTTAAGGCAAGGCTCACTGATGAACATTTGAAAGCAACACTGAGATTGGTTTCGTCTCAGGATATCAAACCTAATACTGATGCTCTGGTTGATGCAAAACGCTGCCAGCTAAGTGGCCAAAAATGAAATGACTGTCAAAATCAGCACTGACTTTTCGCATTACAGTTTTAAAAAAATTAATACATTGACTTTGAATAGCATACTATATTACTCTTCATTTTTGACTATACCTTTGTATTGTTGTATGAAAAGGCTTCAGTGATGCAGCCCTCGGGCCAATGTACCAGTCCTCATGTGGCCCCCGGGGTGATTTGAGTTTGAAATCCCTGCACTAGGGGCAGCAGCTGCAAGGCTGTTTGCATTTTTTTCCCCTTGTATTTTTCCCATTGCTATGCAGCTGAAGGGCCACTACTGTCAATATAATAATTCCAATTTACTGCCTGACCAAGCAGTTCCTCAGCCCTCTAGAGTATGTTATGAATTATATTAAAACTAACACAAAGCTAACTAAGTCCAGGAACAAATGAAGACAGTTATAAGACCTTGAAGAGTTGCTGCAGGAGGCGCAGCAATGCCACAGAGAGAGGGTTCGTTTTATGCTGCTGAGATGACAAGTACTAATAGCAGCTTACACCCACAATGGGAAAGCTGTAATATTTCTGATATGCTGGAGTCATTATCACCTGCACAAACACACTTGTAATCTATAATTGGGGTGAAGGACAAGAGGCAGGATAATAGGAGAAAAGATGGCTGTTCTGATTACAAGTGTATAGTGATGCACTTACATACCATATTCATTATACCTGACCTTATAAATGTTCCAGACTCTCTGGTTGGAATGAGAGATGAGAAATCAAAGGGTTCTAATTCTTTTCCTTAAGAGAACTGATCCATTCACCCTCCTTAGTGGAAAGGAGCAAACTTCCCGATAGGATTTTGTCAGATTTAACGCTTGGCGAATCACTTGCATGTTGCAAGTTAAAAATCGTGGCTGGCAAGCGTGGTGGCAGAGCAATGGTTACAAGCACAGCAAAGAGCTCAGCCTCCGGAGGGGAGGAAACCATTCTTCTGTTGAGCTCCAGAGAGCCAATCTTGCCACTCCCAAATTCCTCTTACTACAAGTGCATGCAGGATAAATCTTGGCCAGTGACCTCCTACAGGATTTGTTCAGAGCTGATACTATTCCCGAAAAACTGTCTTTCAACCTGCTAACTTTAAATAGTTTCCTCTGCATTTTGTTTTTGGCTGTTTACAACTAACCTCTGCTCACCACTGCATCCTCATATTCAATAGCTTTAGGACATTCTGTGAGTGCCTTCCTCACTGACACCTAGCAATCAGCAACAGCAATGGTGGTGGCTGCAATCTTTTTCATGGTTCAATGCCCAAAGTCCCTCTGCACCTTGAGCAATGCAGGAATGATGGTGATCCTGTGAAGGGGAATCTATTAGAGCAGGGGTGGCCAACCTGTAGCTCCAGAGCCACATGCGGCTCTTCAGAAGTTAATATGCAGCTCCTTGTATAGGCACCAACTCCGAGGCTGGAGCTACAAGCACCAACTTTCCAATGTGCCGGGGGGTGCTCACTGCTCAACCCCTGGCTCTGCCACAGGCCCTGCCCCCACTCCATCCCTTCCCGCTCCCTCCCCGGAGCCTGCAGTGCCCTCGCTCCTCCCCCATCCCCCCCAAAGCCTCCTGCACGCCATGAAACAGCTGATCGGGAGGTGCGGGGAGGGAAGGGGAGGCGCTGATTGGCGGGGCTGTTGGTGGGTGGGAGGTGCTAGGAGCCGGGGGGAGTTGATGCGGGGGCTGCTGGCGTATTACAGTGGCTCCTTGGCAATGTACATTGGTAAATTCTGGCTCCTTCTCAGGCTCAGGTTGGCCACCTCTGTATTAGAGACTTACTCTGCAGCGGCAGCCTGCTGCTAACTAACTGTCTGCTGCTTCAGTCACAAGAGTCAGCAGGTCCAATCCTGCTCCCATTGAAATCAAAGGCAAGGCTCTCATTTATTTCAATGGGAGTGTAAACGGGTCCACTGACTTTCCTGGGAGTAGCTAAAAAAAGATAAAGAAAAGAAACAGTATTTTTCAATTCACCTCACATAAGTCCACTTAGTCCTACTTCTTGTCCAGCTAACCTCTGAGACAAACAAGTTTGTTTATATTTACGGGGGATAATGCTGCCTACTTTTTATTTACAATGGCACCTGCAAGTGAGAACAGGTGTTCACATGGCGCTGTTGTAACCGGTGTTGCAAAGTATTTACATGCCAGATGTGCTAAACATTCATATGCTCTTTCATGCTCCGACTTGTAGGCGCTAAAGTTTTACATTGTTTTGGTTTTGAGTGCAGTTATGTAAAAAAAATAAACCTACATTTGTAAGTTGCACTTTCATGATAAAGAGATTTCACTACAGTACTTGTATGAGGTGAATTGAAAAATATTATTTTTTGTTTATCTTTTGTACAGTGCAAATATTTGTCATCAGAAATAATATAAAGTGAGCACTGTACACTTTGTATCCTGTGTTGTAACTGAAATCAGTATATTTGAAAATGTAGAAAAACATGCACAAATAAATGTAAATTCGTATTCTATTATTATTTAACAGTGCAATTAAAACTCTGATTAATTATGACTTTTTTTAATCTCATAATTGTGATTTTTTTTTTAATCGTTTGACAGCCCTAGTTTTTAGTGTTTCGATCTACAAGAATGTCTTTGTTTGGAAGAAGCCTTCCTAAGTGGTTGTGCAGGAAAGGCCACATACCCTACAGATGCCTCTTGCTTGCTGAGGGGCACAGAAGTGATCTGAAGTGTAAGTGTGCTGTCGAGCCCTACTGATACCAAATCAAGAGTCACCTGCCCAGTCCATAGGATTAACCCTTCCTGCCACCAGATGAATACAAGAACCTGGGACTCCCATTAGAAATAGATGTGGGCTGTCTGGACAAAGTTAACTTTCTCAGACAAAATTATTGTTTTCTAACAGACTTTGGGTAAAGATTTCCAAAGCACTTAAGTGACTTGGGAGCCAAAGTCCTATTTTCAATTGTGGCTTAGGCACCTGGGAGCCTATGTCAGACTGAAAGTCGATGAAATTTAGTCTCCATCATGCCTAAGTTACTTTCAAAAATGGGATTTAGGACTGGTGTGTACTCAAGAGTGTTTGCATGGCTCTAGCTCTGTTAGCTTAGAAACTGATAAAAGGGATACAACATGCTCAAAATGAACTGGAAAAGATGGAGAACAATATTACAGTAACCATAACTGTTACTTGTTACAACAGAAGGTAAATCATTTCCAGGAAGACGAGTAATTTTAATTAATTTATATTTATTCAGGCTGGGATTTTCATAGAAGCCTAAGACTTTGTCCACACTGCAGGTTACTTCGTTATAACTTCTATCGTTCAGGCAGGTGAATAATCCACACCCCTGAGCGACGTAAGTTACACTGACCTAAGCGCCAGTGTGGACAGCGCTATGTTGGCGGGAAAAGCTCTCCCGTCTCTCATGGAGGCAGGAGTTATTAAGCCAACGGGAGAATTCTCTCCTGTCGACTTAGAATGTCACCACCACAAGCTCTACAGAGGTGCAACTGCACGGACACCGATGTAGGTGCTGTAGTGTAGATGTAGCCTGAGAGAGTTGGGCTCAATTCCCAGTGACTTTCAGTCATCTTGGAAAAGCCTGGCCAAAGTGCTCAGATCCTCAGTTAGGAGGCGCTAAGTAAGTACTAAGTTTGGTATTATTAATGATTGATTTGAAAGAGGAATGAGCAGCCTAACAAGGACATTTTCCCTTTTACCGAATGTTAATGGATAACATGATCTAATGTATCAGATCTGAAACAATACTTGGTTGAACATATGTGGGTCCCAAAATCCAGTCCTAAGGATGAACATTTCCTGCTTCTCTAAGCGATAACTAACATACCATTCTTTATACGGGATCTCAAGTTGGCAAGGATTTGCCACTAACAACATGGCAGAGATGCAAGTTTCCATCTTACCCATAGTCATCAATCAGATGGGAGCCAAGCACCACGACATCAAGCTCAAAGAACTGTGGTTCCGCCTTAATGCCAAACATAATAGGAGCTAATTTTGAATAATCAGCTCGGTTGCAAGTAGCAACGCAAACCCGAAGTTTTCGGTTGTTCCCATTCTTCTCCATGATTTGTTTTTGTTTGGAAAGATTCTTGAAATACAGTTCCTGAAACAACAAAAAGCAAAGATTAATATTTTTCTGTACAGCCATAAAATTGCATGCTTAAATAATGAAAGACATGCGGCAGAATGCTATGCTAATTCCAGCGTGGAAATTTGGACAAGTGCTAACTGATCAAAAGATTACCATTTAGATAACAGGTACCTGGCTGGGAAAAACATGCTTTCAATTATAGGTATAATCTCAGATTGTGTGTGTGTGTGTTCACGCACGCGCATATGTGCTTTCACGAAGGAAACAGATGTCTAGTGATTAAAGCAAGGGGCTGAACGTCAGGACTCCTGGGTTCTATTCCTAGCTCTGACACAGACTTGCTATGTAACCTTGGGGAAGTCACGAAGGCCTACATTTTCCACTAATTTTGGATGCCCAGTTTGAGTGATGTAAAGTCTGATTTTCAGAGATGTGGCGCTATCCTGATTTAAAATGGGAGCTGTGGATGCTCAGTTCTGCTGAATATCAGGCCCAAAAAGTCTCAAGTTGGGCATTCAAAAATTGAGGCATCCAAAATTTGTGGACGCTTGTGAAAAATTTAGGTTTTAATACCTTTGAACCTTAGTTTACCTGACTTTAAAATGGAGATAATGATGCAAACACATTGTGAGATTCAATTGTAATTAAAAGCCTGCAAAATGCTTTGAAATGGTCAGATTAAGTGCAAAGTTAATATTATCTTCCTGGATGACAGTCATATCCCAAAACCCCATAATGGAAAGGACTGTTGGGAGATACCCAGGGCTACACTAACAAAGACACTGTGTGACCACCAGAAGAAAGTAGCTCCTAAAAATTAGGCATCAACTCCTTTATGAGCAGCACAGAAACACTATGTAAGTGAGGGGCTGCCACTAAACCAGGCTTATAACTATGACCCTGATTGTGATCACATTTGCATTGATGTAAGTTAGAAGTGATTCCACTGAAGTCAATGCAATTACACCAGTGTAAAACCAGCTTGCGGTCAGAATCAGGCTCTAAAACATCATGATTCTTATCAATCTTCAGCTACTACTAGATACTCAGTTCTCTCCTATTTCCCCTGACACACACGTGCAAGTACAGGACACAGTCCCCTAACTTTAATGTATATAATAAACTGGCATTACATCTGATCTTTTTTTTTTAAACAGATGTTCAAGCTTCACGAACAAGACAAAGTAAAAAGAATGATCGGATTATTCCTTATATTGGTGTAACGTTGTAATGGAGTATTTTATGAGTTTAAATGACAAGCTTCACAAAACAAGACAAATTTTGTACCACTAATTTTCCTACTCTGAACCTCCCCTTCACAACAGAAAAGGAAGATCAGTTAAGTGTCAGCTCACTGACTGGGGCTCAGTTCAGAGATCTTCATATATCAGAAATCTTCTGACCCTTATTCTAGCTCACATTTTAAATTTGCAGTAGAGGAGATAGCCTCAGAAAGTTTCCAGAATCTTTAACACCTGAACACACTGGCCAGGAATCATCCATGTAAGCAAAGGGGATGAAAACACAGTGAACTTCTGGACTGGGGAAAGGAAACACTTGCGGAACTGGATCTCCACAGTGGGCTTCCACAGATCCATGAGGGTGAGCAAAAGGTGACAGGCATCTTCCTCTCATTCTCCATTGGAGCTGCGCTGCTGTGGAGACCGGAGTGAACAGGAGTGGGCCAGAGGCTCCAAAGACAGTGTGGAACTCAGATCTTGGGGCTCTATTGGGTTTAGGGGCTGAACCTCCTTCTCATTCCATGGGAAAACCATCCACAGGAAACGCAGAGAGGGAAATCTGAGTTTCCATCTCACACACAACAGGCTGGTAGGATTTACCCAACACCCCTCACCTTGTTAGCAGGTGTTGAGCCTGCTGGGAAAGGGTTCAGTGTGTTAGTCAAATCCACTGAAGACTCTTGTTCCCCAATCTGGATATAAAGGAGGCAGGAGTGGCCTCTGGGGAGAGGTAAAGGCTGAGCAGTCCTGAGGCAGGAAAGCTTCAGTTAATGTCTGTAGAACAGGGCTGAGAAAGGTGCCAGCTCACAGTTTGGTGCAGAAGTGTTGACACAGAGGAGAAAAATAAAGGCATAACGCTAGAAGTCATGAAAGGAAAAATCTACCACAAGATGCTTGAATTCACATCACTGCACACAGTGTACCTGGCCACCTAGGTCATGAGTGCTATAAAGGAGTCAACTTGTAATAGGCATGTACATTTAATTAAATGCTTACCAAGGGCCTGAAAAGTTAATGAAGAGTTAAAGGGCTGTGGGATCAGGCCCTGAATGTTTTCTGCCCCCACCTACACACCATTAGTCTCTTGTTCTCAAAAGGTCACTTATCACTTCCAAACAGGTAAGCTACAGAACAAATATTGGGAAGTCTGTCATATTTACATTACATTAGAAGAGTGATCTCTTTTTGTCCTCAGAGTTTCACTGTGTGCACATTGCTCAATAAATCTCCTCCTCCCCAGAAACTCTTACATAGTTTCAATCTCTTGCTAACTAACAGCCAAATAAGAAAGTTATATCCTCCTACAGAAGTGACTCAGTTTTCGTGGCTTCATACTAACATATTAGGTAAATACTTCCTTCTATTATGCCTTCCTGAGTTGTCGCAGACCTCTTTTCCTCACTGCTCCATATCAAATCCCGCTTCTGTTAACTTGAGTCCTGAGAGCACTCAATCCTGAGAGTTCATGAACACTCACAGTATAACATCAAGCTAATTAGATCAGAACACTCATAGAAACTGAGTTCTTGCTGGTTTCATCACTAATGAAATTAAGATCAGCAGACTTGCTTCTAGCAAAGCCATGTCTTCATCTGAAGTTGCTGCCTTTTAAAGTTTATCTTCATTGACAGACAAGATGGCTTTTCCCAACCTTAGTTTGAGTCCCTACAGTTTCCTAAAATCCTGAATGAAGAGTTTAGATTTCAGTTACTGTGCAGAGGCTCTCTGTAAATGCAGTCAAATACTGTACTGCCAATGCATACCACTTGATAGGTCTACACTAAAGACCTCACAGCAGCACAGCTGTACCAATGCAGCTGCACCGCTGTAAGGTCTCTTGTGTAGCCGCTCAATACGGATAGGAGTAGGCTCTCCCCTCGACATAATTAAACCACCCCCAACGAGCAGCGGTAGCTTTGTCATTGGGAAATGCTCTGCCGCAGATATAGCGCTGACCACACCGGCGCTTCTCTGGGTGTAACTCAGTGGTTCTTAATCTGAGGTGCACGCACCCCCTGGGGGCGTGAGATGCCCTTTCTGGGGGTGCGAGACAGGCCAGATTTTTTTAGAAGGTAAATCATCGAAAACACAAATTAAGCACAGGCACGTAAGTACAACTACTTTGTTTCATCAAACCTATGTATTTATTATTATACGTTTTTTAACGATTACTGTAATATACAAACAAAAAAATTATTTTCACATTTTTAAGCTAATTGTAGTGAAATTATCTCGCTACAAAATACAGTGTACCACCACGTTGCGGGGTATTTCTTGATGCATGCACAGATGATGATGTGAAGCATATATATATATAGTTATGATATATCTAGGTTTAAAAACTGACCTACTTCAATGATTTTTGATAAGGGGTGCAAGAACATATTTTGAGAACCAAAGGGGTGCAGGCTGCAGTAAAGGTTAAGAACCACTGGTGTAACTCATGTCGCTCAGAAGGGTGTTTTTTCACACCTCTGAGCGACATAAATTATATCAACAAAAGTAGGAGGGCAGACATAGCCTCAGTTTCACTGTTTCCCATAAGAGTTCATTGGTCAGTTTACCCTGCTGTTTGTGTGGATATTACACACAGCAACAGAGGAGACATACTTTGTAGAAATAGAAAACTGTGGTTGTGAAAACACAAAAATAGGCAGGGGAAACTTGGTAACAGGTGCACCACCTGAAAGCTACTTTTAACACACTTCTTGAAACTGGATAGCTTTTAAAATGATAATGTCCTTTTGACAAGTTATGAAAATTAGGAACTCAAAATCTCCTACAACATTTCTCAGTGTTTCATTTTTGTGTAATAACATGTCAAACAAAAAGTTTCAGTTTTCCAGAATGATCTGGAAACAGACTGTTCAGCTTTAACTGAATCACATAAACAGAATATATTTTAAAAAACATTTTTGTTCCGTTTTGATAAATAGGTGAACAACTGGGCATGTACAGCTATACACGTATGCCAATTAACTTCCTTCTGTGGCTTCTCTCACACATACTACCCCTATGGTTGGGCCCTTTTAAGAGCCAGGCAGTGAGTTCCCGGGCAAGACAGAACCTTTAATCTCACGGCACCAGAGCAGGACTGATTTTACACTCACTTTTGAAAGACTGCTTCCTTCTGCCAAACCAAATATCTCTGCTATCTATCTGGGCACAAGCACCAGCCCTTCTCCAGGTCAGATTCCATAATTATGCAATGGCAGGAATTTCAGACCCCTCCAGAGCATTGCTTAGGGGCTGCATGTCAGTAGCACAAAGCACTACCCACAAGAGTTAAGAATGTTACCACCACTCCCTGATTAATTAAATGAAAGGCAATGGGATTCAAACTCTGACCCTCCATTTGGAAGCTTGGTGCAATAAGCTAGCGTTATGCAGTCCTTCAAAGTAGACTTTTACTATCCTTCTGAAATTCTTTAGAGTCTTAAGAATTAGATTTCTTCTTGCCCAATTTCAAGTGCAACTGGAAAAGTTTTCTGTGTTTACAAAGTTTGACCATTCAAAGACACATATGAAAAGCTATCACATGTAAACAAACATGAAGTAGAAAAATAAAAATGAACTGAGCAACTTTACAACACAGGCTGTCAGTGGTAGACATTATATCATTTACTTGGCAATAAAGTCAGTTCCTTTTATTAAAAGGGTAATGGAAAATGCTAGAACACACCAGGCTACCAAATCTAGGATTTATTTTTAAACCTATTCCTGTAAGTTTAAGCAAAACACAACAGGCCAGTTCAATTAGCTGACTTTTTTCAATATGTTTCTCAGAAACATTTCTCAAACTGGAATTTTATAGAGCACCTAGTTTCCCCTGAAAAACCACACGTGTGACACGTAGGGGCTCTGGCTATGCCAGCTGCAAGATACTATCAGTCAGTCAGGAACTAGTTTCCTTCAGGCGTTTCAGTGCTTTAAACTCAAGACTTCAAACTAGTTATGGGATAAGAGACCTGATCTGGTCAATTAAGCCCCAAAACAGGAGCTCTACTTCCCCTCGTGTCAGAAAGGGGTTACCACTGCTACCCATGTAATTATGTCTCCAGCATGACAAATCTATTTTCTCTTTTATACAATTAGAAACCTTACCTTTCGCTTTCCTTTACGCAAACTGCAGTGAAGGTAAAAAGGATTAAATATTAATATATATGAAAAAAGAAGCTATGCTATCTTCCATTGGCTAACTCCACCAACTTTTCACTTCCTCTACACAAACTGCAGTGAAGGTAAAAGAGGATTAAATATTAATGTATAAGAAGTAGCTCTCCTATCTACCACTGGCTAATTCCAACCCCTGCTCTTTTTTTTTTTTTTTTTTTTTTAAAGAATCTGTAAATCATGTTTAACTCCTGAATCACTGCACAGACTGGTTTCTAACTCCTCAGGTAAAACAGCATAATACCTAACAAAACAAAGAGCTAACCTCCAGTACTCTGTGGGTCAAGTTATGTCAAGGGTACAATACACCTCATTACATTACAATGGATTGTCTTTAATGTCTCATCTAATGGGCATCCTGCACCAGATTTAATCTCCTGGGTTGTTTTGTTTTTAACCTTTATACATTCCCTCTACAATCGAGGTTTGTGCGAAGGTTAATATTGAGATTACTGCTGGAGCTATATTCTGAACAAGCAGATAATAGCCCTAGCCAGACTGCATGAGTCAAGAGTAAGTCAGATGAGCCCAAGTGGAGGGGATGGGAAAGTTTGCCCCAAGTTTTGAGCAAGCAAAGCAATACTAAAAAGGACCACTTACAGTCACAGACATTTCCACTATTTCTAAAGCAGCAGTAGCCTATTATCTTCTCAGCTGGACATTAATTCTACCTTCTACAGCTGATTAGTTGAGTTTAGTAATCCTACTACTCAGAGGACTCATCACTAACAGCAAGGCTTCTCCCCTAGCCCTGTCACCTGCTCCAGAGACCCCTTCCCGCCTCCTATTTCATGACCTCACTCTTAACCCCTCCTTAGCCTCGCTACTCCCTCTGGTTCTCTCCTCTCAGAATACAAGTATGGTCTGGTCTTCCCAAAGGCCCCATGTACCTGTAGCAAACTCAATTTAAGTTCTGCAGCTGACTGCAAAGTTTGTGGCAACTTCATTATTAAATATTCCCCTTTTTAAAACAGGAAGGAAATATAAATATGAACAGACACAGCAAAGTAGTCCCTTTTATAAACCTTGATACTAAATTCAATTTAGTTTATGCCATCCCCACATTTTCAATGTGCTGCAGATATTTCTACTGACAATACTTAATTCCATTGTAGAAGTTGTCAAGGGAGAATGAATAAGAAATAGCCGGGGCTTTTAGCAACTGTAGAGTTGAAGAAGGCGGTCTGGGATTGCGATAAGCACACCAACTAGATCTTTGTGCAAAAATGATCAGCAATGAAATAGTGCTAACACTAAATTGTCATTAGGTTTCCTATGAAACGCTGCTCCACTGAGAGGAATCGAGCAGTCCGTAACTCTCAGATAACGTTTCAGGCTATCTGCATACTTAGAAAGACAACGCTCTATTGGTTTAACCTTGAAAACATGACCCAAGTATATCTTTGTAAATATGAGGAAAGGAACATTTCATTTAAATAAAAGTTAAGATTCAGGACCACAATGCTATCGCAAGGTGCAGATTCCACAGCAAATCCTGCAATTTGGGAATTTACAGGGACCAGGAGCATTCTCATCCTCAAAAAGGCTCTCTCATTGACTCCAACTACTGCCTTATCTCCCTTCAAATCCAAACTCATGGACCCCCCCCCACACACACACACACTCTCCCCCCATCTACAACTTTTGCCTTAAATCTCTCTCCTTCAACTCCATCCTGGATCCTTTCCAGTCTGCTTTCCATCTTTTCCAAATCTGAAATCACTATCATCAATACCACCAATAACCTCTTTTGGACCAAGTCTCAGGGCCATTACTCCATTCTCATATACCTTGCCCTCTCTGCTTCTTGTTTTCATGGTGAGCAATCAGAAGCACTCATCAGGGCTCCTGCTTCAGCAGCAAGAAGATAGCCTTAGGGAATTTTCTAGTTATTTGTGTTAGGGTAGAACCTGGGAACCGCAATCAATGATATGATCCCCTCAGGCACAGTACAGAGAAGTAACAAAGATAATCCCTACTCTTAAGAGCTTGATGCAACCTAACTAGCATTGTTCTGAAAGCCAGCAGGGTACCTGTTTTAACTATACTGTGACAGCAGAGCTGTGATGGGACCTCCCACACTACTAAGGGTATGTCTACAGGACGAAATTAGGTCGATTTTATAGAAGTCGATTTTTAGAAATTGATTTTATAGTCGATTGTGTATGTCCCCACTAAGCGCACTAAGTCGGCAAAGTGCATCCTCACTACCGTGGCTAGCATTGACTCACAGAGTGGTGCATTGTGGGAAGCTATCCCACAGTTCCCGCAGTCTCCGCTGCCCATTGGAATTCTGGGTTAAGCTCCCAATGCCTGATGGGGCAAAAACATTGTCATGGGTGGTTTGGGGTACATGTCGTCAACCTCCCCTCCCTCCCTCCTTCCGTGAATGCAACTGCAGACAATCATTTCGCGCCTTTTTTCCTGGGTTACCCGTGCAGACGCCATAGCATGGCAAGCATGGAGCCCGCTCAGCTCACTGCTGCTGCTGCAAGCATTGTAAACACCTCACGCATTATACTGTAGTATGTGCAGAACCTGGCTAAGAGATGGCAGCACAAGGACAATTGTGAGGAGAACATGGACACAGATGTTCCTGAAAGCACAGGCGGTAGGAATTGAGACATCATGGCAGCAGTGGGGCTGGTTGATACAGTGGAACGCCGATTCTGGGCCTAGCAAACAAGCACAGACTGGTGGGACCATAGTGTTGCAGGTATGGGATGATTCCCAGTGGCTGTGAAACTTTCGCATGTGTAAGACCACTTTCCTGGAACTCTGCGAGTTGCTTTCTCCCGCCCTGAAGCGCAGGAATACCAAGATGAGAGCTGCCCTGACAGTTGAGAAGCGAATGGCAATAGCCCTGTGGAAGCTTGCAACGCCTGACTGTTACCGGTCAGTCGGGAATCAATTTGGAGTGGGCAAATCTATCGTGGGGACTGCTGTGATTCAAGTAGCCAATGCAATCACTGACGTTCTGCTATCAAGGGTAGTGACTCTGGGAAATGTGCAGGTCATAGTGGATGGCTTTGCTGCAATGGGATTCCCTAACTGTGGTGGGGCGATAAACAGAATGCATATCCCTATCTTGGCACCAGACCACCTTGCCAACCAGTACATAAACCGGAAGGGGTACTTCTAAATGATGCTGCAAGCACTGGTGGATCACAAGGGACGTTTCACCAACATCAACGTGGGATGGTCAGGAAAGGTGCATGATGCTTGCATCTTTAGGAACTCCGGGCTGTTTGAGCAGCTGCAAGAAGGGATTTACTTCCTAGACCAGAAAATTACTGTTGGGGATGCTGAAATGCCAATAGTTATCCTTGGGGACCCAGCCTACCCCTTGCTCCCATGGCTCATGAAGCCATACACAGGCAGCCTGGACAGTAGTCAGGAGCAGTTCAACTATAGGCTGAGCAAGTGCAGAATGGTGGTAGAATGCGCCTTTGGATGTTTAAAAGCTCGCTGGCACTGTTTGCTGACTAGGTTAGACCTCAGCGCAACCAATATTCCCATTTTTATTACTGCTTGCTGTGTGCTCCATAATATCTGTGAGAGTAAGGGGGAAGACGTTTATGGCGGGGTGGGAGGTTGAGGCAAATTGTCTGGCTGCCAATTTTGAACAGCCAGACACCAGGGCGATTAGAAGAGCACAGGTAGGCGCGCTGCGCATCAGAGAGGCTTTGAAAACCAGTTTCATGACGGGCCAAGCTCCGGTGTGACAATTGTGTGTGTTTCTCCTTGACGCAAACCCGCCCCCTTTGTTGATTTTAATTTCCTGTAAGCCAACCACCCTCCCACCTTCGATCACAGCTGGCAAAGGAAATAAAGTCACTATTGTTTTGAAACCATGCATTCTTTCTTAATTAAAAAAAAAGGGAGATAACTGATAAGGTAGCCCAGGTGGGGTAGGGTGGGATGGGGGAGGAGGGGAGGAGGGAAGGACAAGACCACAATGCTTATTGTAGCCACACTACAAATCAAAACTGTTTGAATGACAGCCTTCTGTTGCTTGGGCCATCCTCTGGAGTGGAGTGGCTGGGTGCCTGGAGCCTCCCCCTCCACATTCTTGGGCGTCTGGGTGAGGAGGATATGGAACTTGGGGAGGAGGGCAGGCAGTTGCACAGTGGATGCAGCGGCGGTCTGTGCTCTTGTTGGCTTTCCTGCAGCTTCACCAGATGCCTGAGCATGTCTGTTTGCTCTTCCATTAGCCTCAGCATTGCATCCTGCCTCTTCTCATCGCGCTCACTTAATGCTTTCCTGGACTCTGCCACTGAATGCCTCCATGCATTCAGCTGTGACCTATCAGTGCGGGAGGATTGCATGAGCTCGGAAAACATGTCATCGCAAGTGCGTTTTTTTCGCCTTCTAGTCTGCGATAACCTCAGGGACGGAGATGATAGGGGGAGCATAGAAACATTTGCACCTGCAGGGGGATAAAAAGGGAGAGTAAAATTGAAGATGATACATTTCTGAGAACAAAAGGGAGACTCTTTCACAGTGAATCAAGCAATTCACAGCAGACAGCACATGTGCTTTAGGTACAAGGTCGCATTTTGCCTTTTATATTAAGCACCTTGCCGGTATGGTGACACATCACACACGGCTGGGCAACAGAATTCGGTTTCCAGGCAGCCATGGTAAGCTAAAGGGTACTCGGGTTTGGTTTCTAATGCCTTCATAACATGTGGGAATGCTTTCAAACTGCAGCACCCGCCTTTCCCATAGCAAGCAATGCCAGCTGGGTTTGCCATTTAAAAGGAGGGGCTGCGGTTTTCGGGTGGATGTGCAGCACACACCTCCTCCTACCCCTCCGTGTGGCTATTTGGGATGATCCCTTCACCCCTCTCCCCACCGCGTGGCTATTCTCAGGGATGATCCCTTTTAGCCAAGCACAAACAGCCCAGCATGAACGGGGTTCTTTTACTGTTCCCTTACAAAAATTCCCCTATTTCAACCAGGTGACCATGAATGAGATCACTCTCCTGAAGCTGACGCAGAAAGATATAGACCTAATGTTGCTTGAATGCGACCAAATCCCAGGACCATTCGC